ATATTTATATATATATATATATATATATATATATATATATATATCATCTCTCTCTCCACTTCTCTCTCTTATATTGCAACATCTTATGTAAATTATTTTCCTCTCCACTTCTCTCTCTTATATTGCAACATCTTATGTAAATTATTGTATTTATTCTCAAAAAAGTGTTGGTTTTTTGCTTTCTTCTTTGCAAGCTTAAATTTCTCAAAATTTTCCTCACTCCTACACTTTTGCCAGTATTTATGTAATTTTTTTGCTTTCCTCTCCACTTCTCTCTCTTATATTGCAACATCTTATGTAAATTATTGTATTTATTCTCAAAAAAGTGTTGGTTTTTTGCTTTCTTCTTTGCAAGCTTAAATTTCTCAAAATTTTCCTCACTCCTACACTTTTGCCAGTATTTATGTAATTTTTTTGCTCTAATCACTTTTTGAACTTCTTTATTCACCATCAACTCTCTTTACCATCTAATCTACAACCCTGAGATTCTTATAGAATTTTTGTAGCTACTTTCTTAATACAATAGAACATGCTAATATACTATTCCACCTAAAATTAGTCTTGTTATTTATATTTTATATCTTTCTTCAACATCTTATCCTCATAATGCCCTAAATTCTCTCCTTTACAATCTTTGCATGTTAGCCTATTTACCCCTCTAGTAAGAACAAAAAATCTTTCCACTATTAATAATCGTTTTTTTGTTTTGTATTCGATGGTTTATATTAAAATAATTAATTACCAATTACATATTTTATTTCAAATAAATATCGTGATCTTAAATAGAGAATGCAATACTTCTTAACACAGATGCTCCAATATGGTGAATTACTCCTTAAGCCCTTATAATGATTATACCATAAATTGAAGAAATCCTCAGTTATGAGTCTTATGACTTCACATGAGTTACTTTCATCTATTGTAGACGAGTAGAGCTAGAATTTTGATCCAGCTTAGGCACACAGATACGATTAGGAGCAATCCCTTCATGAGCATTCCGTCAAACCAAGTGAAAAATAATAATTATGAAGCCTGACAAAGTTTAGCATAGCATACATACAATCTAAAAAAGAATATATTGAAGTGAAAAAATTCAAATGTATTGTAAAATTGGACATATAAGATCTTTTATATGAGTTATTTGAAAAAAAAAAGGTTACGACAGTCATAAGCTATGCTACCAGGTTACTTCTATCTGAAGCTGTACCTCTACCCGGGTACATGACATGTAGCCATACCCAAACTCTGTGGACACTCCTAGTATATATGCATACATTTATTCAGGCATGCACTCAATTAGACAATACATGTTTAATTTAAACAATTGTCATGCACTTCTTGAACGCATGTCCTACACTTGACATCCACTTTTTGAAATTCGTTGAACATAGTCGGAATCTGACTTACGATTTTAACGGGTCATGTTCGGGTGCAGTTCAAGACTAAGTTCTTTTCTAATTCATAATCCACATAATAAAAGAAATATAAAAATAGTATAGAAAATTTAATTTTCATAACATGTGAAAGAGCAACAATATTGATCTCATGTAAATTATTAATTTCAATATTAATATATGTCTGTATATGAATATTTATGTAGCCTTGTCCCCGTACCCTTTTATAAATTTGGCGAGTCCAACATACTCGTACCTATACCTGTTTCCATGTAACATAGCTCACAAGAGGTGAGAACTGAAGTAACAATAATATTAAAATTCACCAAGCCTCAATCTAGTTACGTTGCAATAAGGTATTAGAGTTGTGGCTGTTTTCTTTCCTAGGGGAAAAAATACATGCAAATGAGGTTGAGCATCAATCTTGCATGTGCATCCGCCCTTACCTGTAGAGCAAATAGGGAATTTTCTAGATTAAATGTATGTGCATCCGCCCTTGCTTGCATAGCAAATAGGAAACTTTTTCTCAGACCCAATAAACTTTCATAACAAAAATTTACATAAAAACACAAGTCCTCCAACTTGTTAAGCTAAGCAAATCAACAATCTCACGTCACAATTTCTCTACACCATAAATCAAAGACTTCTAGGTTAAATCCAATAAAATATACTTTATCATAATCTACGTGTAAACAAATTTCCAACTTGGTAGTAAGAAAAAAATTGATCATACTAATCATATTATCCAAACTTGCCCTTCCACAATTATAGTTTCAGGGTAATGCTTTAAACAGATCATGCCGTTGAAGTAATGGATAATGACCTTTGTAACATACCTAATTCAGAATCAAGCTCAACCTAAGGATATCAAATGGTACATATGGACTGTTCTACAGATCTAGGGGGTTTTAGGGAATTATGTAACTTCTGTAATATTAGATTTATTATTTACTCATGACTGATATTACATACTGTTTTTTGTTTTTCACCATTTATTGTCGACTGAAAGACTAATGCGTTCATGTGCAGACAAATTTGATCAAGGAAAGCATCAGAATGGGCTACAATGATTTCGGAGACTTTTACTACTCCCATGGTCATCTTGGCGATGCTTTTAAGAATTATGTCCGGACTCGTGATTATTGCACTACTTCTAAACATATAACTCAGATGTGTCTGAATGTAATTTTAGTAAGCATTGAACTGGGCCAGTTCATGCATGTTTCAAATTATGTTGGTAAAGCAGAGCAAGCACCGGACTCATTGGATGCTGTCACTGTTGCTAAACTACGATGTGCTTCAGGCTTAGCTCAGTTGGAAGCAAAAAAGTATAAGCTTGCAGCTCGCAAGGTACTGTTGCAATGCATGTATAATTCACAACCTTGAAATGTTCACATAAATGTATTCAAATTATGCCCTAACAATGTAGTTTATAATTTATATTGATTTTTAAAAGGTAAACAGTGCTATCTGCTTGAGAATGCTTATTTATCTTTTCTCTACTTGTTTTAATCATCTAAATGTCACCAAACAATTCTAGGAACTATGTTGGACACCAATTAGTTCATTAAAATAAATTTGGATCTACCTTCTTGAATAGGTCGCCAACATGTCGTGTTGACTTTTTGCTTAATTAGTCTTTATATGATTAAAATTTAGACATTTTGGACAAAATAATGAATTCATATCTATCAATGTCTAAAACATGATAACGTTCCAAGCATTGAATGTGTAGCTAAATTTTGCTTTCTATTTCATCAACTAATTTTTCTGTGCAATTGACTATGGAAGAGAAGCCTGCATGTACTTGAACATCCGATGATGATTGGATACATTAATGAGCTGTCCATTGACGTTCTAATTTCTTTGTGGAATTGAATTTTTCTGTTTCTATGCTTGAGGTTTTGTTTTGATGTTCGGATAAAAATCATTTGTTTTCATTTGGGATGTGAATCATATGAATCACACTTACTCTTGTGGTATATGTCATGGAGAAATCCATCAGATTAGAAACAGAGGTCCGGAGCTACTTTGAATACTTGAAAGGATTGGGCTAGTTTTTGACTTATCATGGGTTTTACTTGAACTTTATAGTCGGACTTGTCATTTCATTGGATTTTCAAAATCCGAGTGTCATCTAGGATTCAGTCCTAAAGATTTCCTGTGATCAAGCATGCCCTGATATTTTTACATGCTATTTGTGCACTATAGCAGAAACAGAGCAGAGCTCCACAATGCTTGAAGTCAACTTTAAATTCAATAAGTTTGACCTGAAATGTATTCCCCGGCCATGGGTTCTGTAGGAGTAACAACAAGAAATACACTCACCCTTTATGGATTTGATATTGGATCCAATTTAGTTATTAACTCTAATTTTTTCCCTTTCTCGTCTGTAGTTTCTAGAAACCGGTATTGAACTGGGAAACAATTATTCAGAAGTGATAGCACCTCAAGATGTTGGTACATATGGTGGTCTTTGTGCTCTTGCTTCCTTTGATCGAACAGAACTAAAGGTCTGTTTTTTAGTTTATTTTATTTTATTTTGTTTATTTGCAAGTATTCTTTGGTTTAAAAATTAAAATAGCTTAACTTAAAGGACTTCTCATTTAACAGAACAAAGTAATTGACAACATCAACTTCCGGAATTTCTTAGAGTTGGTGCCCGAAGTGAGGGAACTTATCAATGACTTCTATGCAAGGTAAAACTCATCCTGAGCATTATCTAAGAATCACTTAACAGTGAATTACATGTCCATGTTATCTCACTTCTCTTATTGTGTTCTATATTTCCATTTTATAGAGTGTATTGTTTGCAGTTCCTGTTACATATACTGTTAATTTTGCTTCACGATGAGACATAACAAGATAATGCCCATTTAGGACAATCGATTCTACAAGTTTTGTATATGTTCATTTTTTTTTTGGAAACTGAGTTCTCTGCAGATGACACAGTTCTTGCTGATGATAAGATAATATTCAAACTAGAATATGAAATGCCAGGTAGACTGGAAAAGGGTGGAAATTTTTCTGAGAATTTAATGGAGTGAAAATAGTATCTAAGAATGTATTGGTTATCTCCTCAACATGAAATATTTTGTTATCTAGGATCTGATTTAGATGGAATACATATGCAGCTTGTCTTGGTTTTCCCCAATATCCTAAATTAATACAGCTCAGTTCTTCATACTTTGAGAGCACTCTCACCAATATTGTTTTCTACTGATTATTAAAAACTTGCTTGGGAGTATGGTTTGATTAATTCTGTATTGGCTTATTCTTGCTTCATGAAGTTCATAGTAGTTTGTAAAATTTGCAAAAGTAAAGATGTGATGTAAAAAAAAAAAAACTGTCTTCTTTCACCTAGTACATGTTCATGCACTTGCACTAGCAGGCCTGTGCTACTTTTACATGTACATGGGTTCGCAGGGGATTTGTTAATGATATTAATGTATTATGCACGCATGATGATCATTGCGCTTCTTTCATCCAACTTTGTGTACTTCGATTTGGATCAAGGTCTGGTAATACCAATTTGTCCTCACATACATCTTGAAGATTCATATCTACTGTATTAGACATTGATGAAAATGAAACAGTATGTGTAAACAAAGAGAGATCTTGCTTTGCCCACTCTGACCATCCTCAACAGCATGTCCATGTGTGCGCACTTGTGGGAATGTGCTCATATGTATTTCCTGTTGTGTGAGTTAACCAAACCCAGATGCTGTAACTTCAGCTTAGTCATTATGGCCTCATTTGACCTACTTGGCCAACTTTAAACCCAACTAACTTTTCAATCCTTCTATCAGATTGTCCTCCTTAATAAGTTAATGAAGTGTCTGGTAGTAATATGGATGTGTGATAAGGAATGTGTGAGATAGAGTACTAAGTGTTTAGAACAAGAAGAGATGGATATATTATCGTTAATAGACTTTAAAAGGATTTGCATTAATTCATACCTCTTTTTGATATCTATGGATGAATTTACAAAACAATTCAAGGTGAGAGCACTGTGAAGATGAGGTCCTTTGATGTATGCTGTTTTCTTGTGATACTGTTTCAGATAAGAATGAAAGATATGTGGATAATTTCTACTGAACAAATAACATATGGAATTTGAGTTTTCAAAGTACATGAGAAATGGAGTGATTCAATTGATGGAAAAGAAATATTTATAAAGGGACCTTTTTTATTCCCTGCTATTGAGTATCATGGTGATAGTGAGATGGGGGAGCCTTTTATTCTGGGAAAAAAGTAAAATGCCTAAAGGAAAGACTGTTTCTGGCATACTGAGTACCTATACCTAAACAGGGCGAACATGGAACAAAGTTCGAGAACCTGGTTTTAGTTTTGAGCTTTCATTGCACAAGATGGTACGATTGTTTTTTATGTTAGGTTTTGCTTTGAGGTTTAAGATTGGCTCGCGGAGTATATACATGTAGGTTAAGTGTAGAAAAGCTTTAGATATGTTGGCATATTTGTTTCTTTGCATGTGTAGTGCCTGAGGGGCATAATATATATAATATATAACATGTCAGACAAGTGGGTAGGAAATCAACAAAAGCTGGCTCACAACATTTAAGCAGTTAACCCAAATATTAATGCAAATTAGTATGAATCTCATTAATTTATAGCATTGTTTAAAAAAGCGAAAGCGCAAGGCGAAGTTTTAAACCCTGGTACGAAGCGGGGCTTAAGCCTTATGAGTAAAATATGTTTTAAGTAAAAATTTATAAATATCATGAATATACACTATATTAGTGGTAATAATAATTTACATATAGATACATTTCATGTCCTGATTAGTAAATATGAATTAAATATGCGAAAATATAGATGCAAATTGCAATAAAGTAAGCTACATGCATAATATATATATATA